CCTATTGCCACATTACAACCTCACTCGGTGATAATCTCCAGAGACACTGATGAGGGGAAATCCTTGCCGTGGGCTGAGCTTCAAGCAGTACACTTAGTTATTTCCCTTGTTTGGAGAGGGAAATGGGCTGAGGTAAGACTATGCATAGGTTCTTGGGCGGTGGAGAATGGCTGTGGTTGACCCGTCAGGGGCCATGAAGGAAACAGACTGGGCAACTGGAAACAAGAAATTCTGGGGAAGACACGTGTAGCTGCACCTATGGGAATGAGCACAAAGTGAGGGAATTTTTGCATCTCCTGTCCATACCCACCAGAGAGCATCCATCAGAGAGGAGGCACTGAACACCAGCTGGACAGAACAACTCATCCAGCGGAGGCTGGCCAGCTTCTCACACCCCAGCACTTGCACAATGGGGCTGCAAAGTGCAGCTGTGATGGCGGGGTGGAGGGCACTCAGGGCCGACGTCAGGGAGTTTCTCACATCAAGACCCATCCAGCTGCCGCTGCTGCTGAATGTCCAGCATGTCAGGAGCAGAAGCCAGCAGTGAGCTCAGTATGGTGCCACCCTCACGGAGACCAGCCAGCCCGCGATGGTGAGTTGGTTATGTTGCACCCCCTCCACTCTAGGGTGGGCAGCAATTCACGTGGGGGTTATTATGTATTCCGGGTGTAGAATGGGTATTACTCAGCAATAAAAACAAACAAATCAATGACACACCCGTGCCAGTTATTGATTTATTAACTCAGCTCCAGCTTCGCCCTTCAGTACCTGCTCCGCTCTAATGGGCTGGACTCTCCGGCATTTCTCCTTTGCAGTGAGCACGATGTCACACTTTGTCAAGAGAAGGTACTAGAGAGACACTGCAGAAGAAAGGGGGTTCTTGGATCTGGTGGGCTTCCTTCCTTTTCTCCTCCCTCCCGCCTTCCTCCTCCTCCTCTTCCTCAGCAGCAACAGCCATGATGCAGAGGACCCTGATGGTGCCTGGTCCAGGCTTTGTGAAGTACCTTCAACCCTGAAAGCAGCTGGCCTGTGGTTCCAGGGTTTGATCGGGCTGGTGGGATGATCAACTCATCTTGGTTTACCCAGGACTGGCCCGGTATTAAACATGAGAATCCTACATCCCAGGAACTCCAACTCTGTCTGTCCCAGGCAAACTGGGACAGTTATTCACACTATACCCCGGGCTCCTCAAACATAATTAAACAGCTCTTTAAAGGCAGGGAGAGCACAGAGCCCCAGTTCCTGTCTCCTCGATTGATGGGAAGGACCTGGTCACACGGCTAGCGGCACAGCTGGCTGGACTTCCATTCCAGGCTTCGTGCCCTTTTGCTCCTTTCCTGATTTTCTCCTTAAACAGGCAAAGGAAGCTGGGTGAGAGGGCGGCTCCGGCCAGGCCAGGGGGAATCGCCCTCCCCTTGTGATTCCTTGATGAGAAACCACAGCGTCTGCCACTCGGGGCCCCGCTGAGGAGACTCACTGTGGAGCGAGGGGCGACCCCAGTGCAGCATCTCACAGAGTCCCCCGGGCCACCCAGGGAAGCCCGGGAGCCCAGGCACCCTGCTCGGGCCTGATTCTCTCAGCTCCGCCCCCTGCGGCACTTCAGCTCCGCCTCAGGCTGGGGCGTGTGCACCTGGCGACACTGGACTGTTCCTGAGAGTGGTGCCCAAGGCCAGCTGCACGCATGAAGGCAGGAATCTCTGGGGCGAAAGCGGGGGCTCTTACGATCTGCAGTTTCCCGAGCTCCTGAGGTGACGAGCGCAGTTATCAACTCACCCAAGGCCTCTTAGTGCCGGCCCGGTCACGGCCAGCCGCAGCTTCGCTTCACCAGATGAGCCCCTTGTTTTCCAGAGTGATGGCCATCGCCCCCCTGCCCTGGCCCCCCGACATCCCCTCGCCCCCGGCAGTCCGTCCAGGTTCCCACTGCTCCACATCCTGCCAATCCTGGGAACCGCCAGACTGGGACCGAGCTGCCAGGCTTGGAGGGTGTGACACCGTCCGCTACAGTATGCATTTCCCTAATCTCTAAGGAGGGTGTTTCCTTCTGTACAATGCCCGTTTGTCTTCTTCATATTTTTCTCTTCAGTCATGTGAGTGCTGCTCCCTACACCTCTCTCAAATGTAGTCAACTTTAAATTTTAACATATAACGTCTACAAAGAGGCCACAGACCTTCAGTACACCTTAAGAGTGGAGTGGGACCACTCCCCAGATTGATACAGAGCATTTACAAGACGCGGTGCCCGTCCCCAGGCAACGACCCCCTCAGAGGTAACTTAATTATTTTTGATTTCTATCAACAGTGATTAGTTTTATCTTTTCTTGAGCTTCATATAAATGGAATCACACAATGTGTATCCTTCTGCGTCTGGCTCTGAGACGTCTATATCGAGGCATCTATCAGGAGTTTGTTTTCTTGGGTAATTTCGTGTATGAATATACTGCAGTTGATGGACACTGTGCTGTTTGGGCTAATACAAATAGAACCGCCAGTCACATTCCCACGTACGTCTTCTTGTGCGCCTTGCACCCATTTCTCCATGCGACACCAGGAGAGGAGATCCAGGTCCCGCGGGAGGCGTGCAAAGCATTAGTAGATGATTGTCTCTCTGTTTCCCAAGTGGCTAAGCCCGTTTCCCTCCCCCAGCACTGCACGGCAGGGCCAGCGGCTCCACCTTCTCCAACACTTTGTGTTGTGGGTCTTGTTAAATGCTGGCGCTGCATGTGCAGGCAGATCTCACTGTGACTCTAATTTGCATTTCTCTGATTACTAATAAGGTCAAGCATTTTTCTTAAAGTTAATTGACCGTTCATGTTTTCCTCTAAGTACCTGCCCGTATCTGTTTCCAGTTTTCCACTTGGCCACTTGCATTTTGGTGACATTGAGGAGTTCTTTACATATTCCGGACGCCAATCCCGTTTCATTAAACATGTTGCCAATCTTCCTTCCCAGTCTCTCTTTCTACCTGAGAGGACTCTGCGCCGGCTCCCAGGCAGAGTCCTTGTCACCCGGAGCCCTGGGCCACCAGGGGTCAGCAGACACTTCCCAGGTGGCTCTGGCTCCAGCCCTCACCTGTCTCTCTGGATTTATACTTTCTTGTCATTTTTGGTCTCTGTATATTCTCACTTGTTCACGCAAGCTCAGTTGTAATTTTAAGAGGTTTATTTTTCATATTTCATTCAGAATTTTTAGGGCTGTCTTTTAAGAGGGGTCGCCAGGCCATCTAATCTGCCACGTTGCCAGAAATGGACGTCTCCAGGTACTTCGGAAGTTTTACGTTCTAACTACAAGGACCTTCCACAAGACAGTGCAGTGACCCTCCACATCCAGTCCGCAGTCCCTCCACCACGGGGTCAGCAACGGGGTGTCTCCTAGAAAACACATCTCCGGCCCGCCCCACCCTGCTGATCCAGGATCTCCAGGCATGGAGCCCAGGCGTCTTCATTTTCACAAGCATTCCAGATGATTCTCACATGCTGAACACTGCCCTAGAGAGCACCTCTCCCAGAGGGCTGCTCAGAGACATTCACACAAGTGGCTAGAACATCCACATGTGGGAGGATGGAGCTGGACTGTATCCCCACACCATCCAGAAAAATCAACTCACAGTGGACCATAGACTCAACTGTAAGAGCCAAAATTATGAAACTCTTAGGAGAAAATGTAGGAGTAAATCTTTATGGCTTTGAATTAGGCAAAGTCTTCTTAGATATGACATCAAAACCACAAATGACAAAAGAAAAAAATAGATGAATTGGACTTCATCAAAATTAAAAACTTCATGGGGCTGGCCCCGTGGCCAAGTAGTTAAGTTCGCATGCTCCGCTGCGGCAGCCCAGGGTTTCGGCGGTTTGGATCCTGGGCATGGACGTGACATTGCTCATCAAGCCATGGTGAGGCGGCGTCCCACATGCTACAACTAGAAGGACCCACAGCTAAAAATATACAACTATTGGGCCGGCCCCGGTGGTGCAGTGGTTAAGTGGGCACGTTCTGCTTTGGTTGCCTGGGGTTCACCGGTTTGGAACCCCGGTGTGGACATGGCACCACTTGGCAAGCCATGCTGTGGTAGGCGTCCCACATATAAAGCAGAGGAAGATGGGCATGGATGTTAGCTCAGGGCCAGGCTTCCTCAGCAAAAAGAGGAGGATTGGCAGCAGTTAGCTCTGGGCTAATCTTGCTAAAAAATAAAATAAAATAAAATAAAAAATTAAAAAATATACAACTACGTACTGGAGGTCTTTGGGGAGAAAAGAAAAAGAAAATCTTTAAAAAAAAAATCTGTGCTACAAACAATACCATCAAGAAAGTGAAAAGACAACCCACAGAACGGGAGAAAATATTTGCAAATCACATATCTGATAAATAACTTATATCTAGAATATACTAGAACTCATGACTCAATAATAAAAAGACAAACAACCCAATTTTTAAATGGGCAAAGGATCTGAATAGACATTTCTCAAAGGAAGATATACAAATGGCCAATAAGCACATGAAAAGACGCTCAGTGTCATTAGCCATCGGGGAATGCAAATCAAAACCACAATGAGACACCACTTCACATCCCTAGGATGGCTAGAAAGACAATAACAAGCGTTGGCAAGAATATAGAGAAACTGAAGCCTTCACACACTGCTGAAGGACATGTCAAATGGTGTCGCCCTTTAGAAAACAGGCTGGCAGTTCTTCAAAAGGTTAAACATAGAATTACCATATGGCCCTGCAATTCCACTCCTCGCCATGTACCCAAGAGAAATCAAAACACGTCCACACAAAAACTCGTACACAAGTGTTCATAGCTGCATTACTCATAACCGCCAAAGAACGGAAACAGCCCCCAAATGCCCCTTAACTGATGAACGGATAAACAAAATGAGGTCCATCCAGACAATGGAATATTACTCCTCAATAAAAAGGAATGAAGTGCTGATACACGCTACAGCGTGGACGAACCTCGAAAACACGCCAAGTGAAAGAAGACAGTGAAGAAAGGCCGCATATTGTGTGATGCCGTTTATATGAAATGATCTGAACAGGCAAATCCATAGAGACGGAAAGTAAATTAGCAGTTGCTAGAGGCTACATATGGGAGGAATGGCGGGTGACTGCTAACAGGCACAGGGGTGTTCTTTGGGGGAATAAAATGTCCTAAAATTAGTTAGTGGGAATGGTTGCACAACTATGTGAATATACTAAAAACCATTAAATTGTACACTTTAAATGGGTGAATTCTATGATATGTGAAATCTATCTTAACAGGATTGTGATATATATGTATTTTTTTCAAGTGGCTATAAAGTTCATTTTCATGCATCTCCCTCCACCACATGTGATGTGAATGTCTGCCTTCCAGTTCTTGTGGCTTTGTAGAGAGCATAAGGTTACCGTCGCAGATGAGGTCCCACCGCCTGCAAACGTCCAGGCACCGCCTCCCCGTGAACCCGAGATGGCAGGTTCAGCCCACGGCACCTCCCACCTGGGCCTGTGCACACTCCACGTTTTTTGTTCTTCCTCTCCACATGGAGGTCAGTGGAATGTCCTGCTGTTTCTGAGAATAACCAAGCTTGTCTGCTGGCTCTTGACATGTAAATTAGACATCAGTGTCCTTATTCTGGCCTCTGGGCCCCAGCTCAGTTGGACAAGATTTGCAAAGGAAATATGAGCTTGACAGGAAAAACTGGACTTCACTTGGGCATCACTAAAAACCAGTTATAGTCAAGTCGAAGTGACAGCTGCGAACCTTGAGCTCAGCCTTCTTGCCCCGGGGAAGGAATGAGCAGACTGGCAGGTCAGGATAGTCGCATCGCTTAACGACAGGAACACATTCTGAGATCGTCACAGTGTGAACATCGCAGAGCGTACCTACACAAACCTAGATGGTACAGCCTGCTACCACGGTTGTGCGTGCATCCAGCGTTGACCGAAACATTGTTACATGGCGCGTGACTATAGCTTGTTTGATGTCCCTGGACTGCTGGTGAAAAAATTAGGAAATTGTTTTGCTAAAGAAAAGTGCCATATGTGACAGCATGGATGAAACTTGAGGACATTATGCTAAGTGAAATAAGCCAGTCACAGAAGGACAAACACTGCATGATTTCACTAATATGAAGTATCTGAAATAGCCAAACTCACAGAAGCAGGGAGCAGAATGGTGGGTGCCAGGTTGGGAGGAGGGAGGAACTCAGGCAGATGGATAAAGTCTAGAGACCTGCGGAACGACGACGAGCCTGTAGTTGACAATGCGGTACCCACAGGGAAAAATTTGTTGAGAGGGTGGATCTCCTGTTCAGTGATCCTACCACAATAAAAAAAGAGAAGGTTACAGGGCGGTATGTCCAACACAATCCCACTGGTGTCACACCCACCCATCTTTCCAGCCGTCATCCATCCATCCATTCATTCACCCCAAACTTTTAACCCTGGCTATCTCTAGTGAAGGACAATCAAGGGTTTTATTGCGGCGAGGACTGGAGTTTCACTTTCTATGTGATGCGCCTCTGTTGTATTGTTTGAGTTTTTTAATAAGTAACATTTTAATAATAAAAATATTTATAATACAGTTATATTTCTATTTTTATAAATGGAAGCGTGTTCCATGGTCAACGGTCACTTTTTTTCATGCCTCTGAACGCTCATATGTGCCTCAAAACTCAGCTCCCAAGTTGCCTTCCCCTGGGGGTCGCCCATGAGTCCTGGTCTCATTTAAATTCCCACTGGCCTGCTCCCGTGGCGCCTGGGCACACCTGTAGACTGGTCCTCCCCACACCACGGTGCCTGTGAACGCTGTCTGACACCCTAGGCAAAAACAAGGGAGCCTGCTGGGAGGGTTAGTGTGCTCATGGGAGCCTAGGGCAGAGACGGGTCTCAGCAACCATCAGAAATCACATGGTCTCTCCCAGCTTCCTGGCATCATCTCTGTGAAACAGAAGCTTCATAAGGGCAGAAATGTTGTCCTTTTTTTCCTCTGCTATATTCCCAGCGTTGGCACACAGAGGCCTTCAATACACACTTGTTGAGAGATGAGGTGGCCTGTGCCTGCTGCTCTCTGTTCTCTCCAGATGGACTTCGTTGCTGTGCTGTGCTGCCAGCTGGGCCCGACAGACCCCAGATATCCTCTCCACTGCCCTCAGTTCTCTTCCAAATTCCCGGGAGAGAGAAGCGATGGGCCCAGCTCTGCGTGACCAGCAGGTGTAACTCGGGTCTCCTCAGCGGCAGCCAGGCGTGGGTCCCACAGCAGAAGCACCTGAGGAGGCTGTGGGGTGGGGGCGGGCAGCATCGTCTGGGTTTCCCACCGCGGGGCGGGGAGGGGGGGGCGAGGGGGGGGTTGCAGGGAGAGGGTATACACACGCAGGCATGAGCCGGGGAGAAGCGCTGGGAGCCGAGGCAGGGGGAAGAGTTTGCGTGACATCTTATGATAAAAGGGGTTGAAAATGAACCAAGGAGCTCCCCTAACGAGGACAACACCGGCAGCGGCTGGTTCTCCTGCACGTTCCCATTAATCGGACCTCGGTCAACTTCAAGCACAGCAGCTGATCCGGAAATTACCACGACGTCTGCCCTCCAGCCACAGGCCTGGGCCTCTCCGGACCGGGAAGGCCCCGACCACCGCACCGCGGCTGGAAGCGGATGCTAACGAACCGCAGCCAGGCCGCCCAGTTAGGCCGCGCGCCGGAGCTGCGGGCTGCGATGCGAGGGGCCCGGCTCCCGCCGCAGCCTCCGAGCCCGGAGCCGGGGAGCTCTGCGGCGCGAAGCGGCGGGAGGGGCTGCGCGTGGCGGGCGAGATGAAGGCCGTTGCTCGTCGTTTCCGGGGGAGCGATCGACACCAGCAGCAGCGTGTAGGGCCACCCCCGGCGGGGCGCCCCGGCCGCCGTGCACCCGAGGGGCGCGCCCCGACCGCGCCGAGCGCATCTCAATGAAGCCCGCGCTGTGCCCGAGGCGACGGCGGCGCCGGAGCCCAACCAACACCGGCGCCACTAACCAGGATGCCGGGGCGGCGCGCGAGCGCCGGCGACATTCGTTCACGTGGAGCCCTTCTGCCGGGCCAGCCCGCCTGGGGCCCACGAGCCCGGATGCCCTCTGCAACCCCGACGGCGACAGCAGGAAAGCAGGTGGCCTCACCGTTCATCACCTGGAGGTCAGGAACTGGCTAGCGCTGACGTGGATTCTGACCCCCGCTGCCACTCGCAGCCTTGGGCAAATTATTTAACTCCTCTGAGCCCCAATTTCCTCACTTAGAAATAAAAACAGCACTGAGCTCAGGGGCGTTGTGAAAATTAGATGAGACGGTGACGGCTACTTTTACTGAGCAGGCACTGTGTGCCGGGCCGTTTTCAGCCTTTATATCATCCCACAATACTTTGTTAGTATTGCCTGGGAGGCAATGACTAATTTTGCTCTCATTTTACAAGGATCCAGAGAAGTTAAGTAACTTGCCCAACGTCACACAGCAGCATGGGGACCCAGTCTGCTTGGTTCCACAGCCCATGCTGTGACAGGGACATCACCTGCCTCACAGAGCAGGCGGGGGGGGGGGGGGGGGGGGGGGGGGGGGGGGGGGGGGGGGGGGGGGGGGGAGGCCGCAGGTGGATGAAGAGGAAGGCTAATGGTGATCCAGAGAGCAGGTCATCCACAAAGTAAGCATTACTAGGTGAACGAAATAAATGAATGTTTTATGACGTCTTTGGCTAAAGATTTACATCCAAATGGTGTTTCACTAGAGTTCTGTAACATGAGACCACACTCTCTGGTACCCAGAATGACAGGCAGAGGGAGAGAGTGGGAGTAAGGGAAGTGGTCCCTAAGCCAGGCTGGGGCTGGCCACCCTCCCAGCTTACTGCCCTTTCCAAGCTGAGGGTGCTGGGTACAAGCAGGCAGCGTGTCATCACAAAGCATGGAGCATTTGCAACCTGGCCATATGGCCTACAACTGGGACCCCTCCTGGAGCCTCCCGGGCCAGAGGAGGCTTAATGGGCAGGAGCCCATTGTCAGCGGGCTTTCAGGGTACATACCCTTTTCCCTATGGGGGTTGGGAAGAGGTGGGACCTGGGCAGGGGCGGCCCCTGATGGAGGTGAGGAGGTGGTACCCAGTGCCTGAGCAGGGCAAGGAGAGGGGGTTGCGGGCTGAGCTGCCTCCCAGAGGGCAAGGTGCAGAGGCTGAGTCATCACTCCGCAGAGAGGAGCCAGCCCTGTGAAGCCTGGCTGGGGCAGGCAGGGGGCTCCACCAGTGACTGGGGCAGAAGCAGAGGACAGGCCCAGAGGCGTGGGTCATGCATGCCAGTGCTGGCTGGCACAGTCACTGGCTACCATGGCTGGAGGGACTCTGGGTCGCCCCAAGCCAGAAGGGGCTTTAACCATCAGGCCCAGAGTCTTCGAGCTTCCCAGAGCCCTGAGGCTGGAACCCCCATCTCAGGCTCAGGCTGGCCTGGTCTACAGCGGCCCTGCAGGCAGAGCACTGGGTTCAGGTCTAGCCATGGATCTAGTCACTTACCCTCTGCAGCTTCAGTGTCCTCTCCTGTCAATGGGGCATCACGCAAGTACGCTCCTGACAAGGGAAAAGGAAACAATGGGAGGAAGGGCGGGGCCCATGGAAGCGGGTCAAGAGCTCCTCTCACCTAAGACGGCACTGTCTTGCCCCTCTGGCGTCCACTCCTGGTGCTGTGGGCTATTTCAGTGGGGCCTGAAAGCAGGCCTTCCAGGGAGTTCCAGGCGAGTCTCAAAAAATAGCTAAGTGTGTCTAGAACTACGCTGTCAACATGGCAGCCACTGGCCACAGGTGGCTATTTATATTCAAATTAGTGAAAATTAAATACAATTTAAAAGCCATCTCCTCAGTTGCAGTAGCCCCGCTCCAAGTGCTCAAGAGCCGCCTGCAGCTGGCGGCTGCCGTGCTGGACAGCACAGAGGGTGGCCAGCACTCCGGGGGGCTCCCGGGCAGCACTGCTCCGGACACAGGAGCTTTTTTAAAACCACATTTCTCGAGAGCTGCCTGTGTGCCAGGCCCTGTGCTGAGAGCCGTGCCTGCACCACCCCCTCGGATCCCGCAGCAAGCCCCTGAGGCGGGGACCGTTAGCACCCCTGCTTTGGTTGTGAGAAAAGAGAGGCTCCGAGGGTTCGGTGACTCGTCCAGGGCCGCACCGCACGTTGGTGCTGGAGCCGAGACTCATGCCAGGTCTGACCCGGCCTGCTTCACTGCCTCCCTGGCTTCGCCTGTCCTGTGTTCCCAGACCACAGAAGAAGGCCGTCTTCCAGGCACCTCACCTCCAGAACACACGAGACTGCCCCAGCATTCTTTATTGGCCTGGCTGAGGCTCCAGAAGGTTGGGGTGGGGGTTGACTTTGTTTCCCTGGGGGATGCTCCTGGCTCTGAGCCCTCATGGGACTTTCTGGGGCAGAGGATTGATGATCCCGCTCTCTATGTACTCGAAGACCGTGTAGGGGTCCTGGTCCCCGTTGATAGTGAGGGCCTGCCCATAGAACTCCTCCAGCTCTGCAGCATTCCTGTAGAACAGGTCCATTTTGAACTTAACATGCTCTTCGGCATCCTTTGGGTTCTGCAGGAGACGGTCCTGGATTTCCGTGGTTGGGGGTGGCTTGTACATGAGGTGGTACCTACGAGAGAGGAGGGGAAGCAGGTGACCCGTGGTCCAGCCCAGAGGGCAGGGGAGAAAGGGGCCCTCTGTCCTCCTGTTGACCAAGTTGGTCACCAGCACCACCACCATGAGACATTTACTGTGCACCAGCTGTGTACACACCCTCAGCTGGGTCCGGGGGCTACAGAAAGACCCAAAACATGGTCCCTGCCCAGGGGAGAGGGATACAGACCAATAATAGGAGGACAGAATAGAAAGATACATTGTGTCAATTCCTTTCCTTCATTCCCATCCTTTCTTCTTGCTTCCTAACAACATTTCTGAGGCATCTGCTATGCGTCTGGCAGGACACCTGCTATTGACGATGCAGCGGTCAGCAAGGCAGACGCTGACTCTGTTTATGGAGCTTACAGTCAGATGGGGCTTTATCACAACAAACGTGAGCGGGGATGACAGGAAGTGCCACAGACAGTCATTGTTGGGGGAGACCCCAGGGGCAGGGTCATCATGCTTGACATGGGTCAGCGAGAGACGTCCCCCAGCAGCAAGGATGCGAGAGGAGCCCATAGTTTAGAAGAAGCCTGGTGTTTCCTTCCTGCCCCTCCCTGCTCCACTCCTGAGTCGCTGGTTACCAGGGAGGACGGAAGCTTCCACCGCTTCGTGACTGTGGGAACTTTAAACCATGTTTCAACACAAACGCAGTGATTGCACTTGGTCAGACTGGAAAGCAAAACCAGAATTTCCCCCTCGTAACTGTGGGAAGGCTCACAGGCGAGCTGGTTCCCATGGGGATGTGTTTGTACAGCAACCACGCCTGGGACGCACTGCAGTGAGGGCAAAGGCCCAGTGAGGGGCGCAGGTGACACCTGCCCAAGGCACCATTTCACATGCTGAGTCAGAGCTGTTACCCAGACAGAGTGGGTGAACATTCCGCCAATTTCTGTAGAGCCCTGGACATTAATTTCCTGGCTACTCGTCCAGGCAGAGGATCGACAGACGCTGCCAGAGGAGCTGGCTGGATGAACCCCCTTTCTAGAGTTTCTGTCAGTAGTCACCAGTGGCACCCCTGGAGCCATCCTGCCGTGGCATCGGTCAGCCAGACTGAGAGAGGAGGCTCCCTAGCGGGGCCTGGCTCCTGGCGCCCTCAGATGGCCACCCACCGGGAGCCTGGCACAAACCTTTCTCCCGTGATGGGATCGGTTCTTCTCAGGGTCAGCCGCTCAAGGACAGAATCGAATGGCACATTCAGGAAGAACACCCTGCAGGGAAAGAATCAGCCCACGGTCAGCCCATGGTCAGCACACAGTCAGCCCACTGTCAGCCCACAGTCAGCCCACGGTCAGCACACAGTCAGCCCACGGTCAGCCCACAGTCAGCCCACAGTCAGCCCACGGTCAGCCCACGGTCAGCACACAGTCAGCCCATGGTCAGCACACAGTCAGCCCACTGTCAGCCCACAGTCAGCCCACGGTCAGCCCACAGTCAGCCCACGGTCAGCTGGAGAGAATTGCAGGCTAGATTCTCGTCCCTGAGACCAGGTGGGCATCATGTCACGCACGCACGTGGGGGGAGCCTTGGGAGCCGTCTCTCGGGGGCCCCGGGGTACCAAACTCTCGGTGGTCCCCGGGGATAGATGCAGGTGGGGCTCCTGCCGTGGAAGCTCTCTGCAGCCCTGATTCAGGGACAGCTCCCAGCCCCCATCACTGGTGGGGTGGGACTCCCTGGGGTCATTCTTCTGGTGAGCTGTTGGGGAGCAGAGCCCGTCCTTGTGGGCGGACAGCGTGTTCTCTGGAGTCACGTGGACTTGGGTTAGAATCTCACTTCCACCATGAACCTGCTGTGTGACCTTGGACCGTGAACACAACCTCTCTTGGACTCAGTTTCCTCAACTGTGAAATGGGCTAAGAGTCGCCCAGTGTTGAAGATTACGAGACAGAGTATGTGGCGAGCTCCATGCAGGGCGTGTGCATACCCGGAGCTTGAACCCAGCAGCTAGTGCCACGCTTTAGTCACTGCCACTGCTGGACACCCTCCCCGAGGGTTTGGGCTCCCCGACTGCCCCACGCCCTCCCTGGAGAGGTAGGGCTGGTCATCCTGAGCTCCCTCACAGAGGAGCCCAGACCCAAGGGAGCAGGACCCTCCAAGGTCAACGGCCCAAATCAGAACCCAGTGGGAAAGCCCCGGCGTTCACCTCCGATAACGGCCAGAGGGCCTGGGAATATGTCTCCTGCACCCCAGTGTAGATGGTTTCATCCCCCTGTTCTGGCACTGGAACCCCATATTTATATAAAACCTGAGGAGAGAGCTTCTCAATCGGGGGTGATTTTGCCCCGAGAAGACATTTGGCAATATATGGGGACATCTGGGTTGTCGCAACTGGGGCAGAGGCCAGGAATGCTGCTAAACATCCCACAGTGTGTCGGAGTGTAGGACAGCCCCCACCACACAGACTTACCTGCCCCAATGTCAGCAGTGCCAGGGTTGGGACAAACAGGACAGGCGAGAGGTGCTGTCGCCCTGGCTGGGAGAGGTAGGCTGGGGGCCGGGGCCCAAGTGTTCGTGGCTCCCGCCCACGGATCTAATCCAGGCCCTGTCTTCTAGCGTTAAACCATCTCAGTTTGCTTTTAAAAAGTAACTTCTGGAATATTCCATTGCTCACTTACTGTTTACTCATTTGTCCTTTAATTAATTCATACATATATTTATTGAGTGCCTGCTGTATGCCAGGCACTGTAGTAAGCTCGCATGTGTACCAGCCCAATGTATGGAACTGAGACATGACATTTAATAGAGTTGTCATTGTTGACATCAGGGTTCGATGACTCATATGTGCAACTTCCAGTGGGGACATCAGTGACAACAAACAGCCCCTGTACACCCAAAGCCTTGCTCATTTCACTTTCAAGTAAACTCAGGCAAGAAGCACATCTAAGTTAACAATAAAAACACACGTAAACAAGATTCCCACCTTAGCTCTCAGGGTGGGAGTCTTTTTAGGATGGCGGCTCTGGCTCCTCCAACTTAGTGAACAAGAGAAGCCCCTCACTGTCATCCTGGGAGTTCACCAGACATGTTGATCGGGCTCCCAAGACACCAAGCTTTGGGGGGTCCAATGGGACACTGGTCCTCATCGTAGCTGGACTAACCTTTTAGGCCCAGGTGTCACCTCGTAGGCCCAGAGCAATGACCAGCCCCAACTAGTGTCCTGACACCCATGAATAAATGTGAAGGCCTGAATACTGAATTAGTCACACACAGTTCTAGTGTTCTATTTAAACTCTCTCTGCCTACTGCCTGATTTTTTTTCATCCCAGCCAAAAGACTCCACTAACTGGCAGAGTTGAGAATGATGCTAAATTCCAGGTTTGGAAGGGATCTTAGACATGTTTCCCTAATTCTCAGCGACCAATTGCACCAGAATCCCCTGGGGAGCCTGTGATGCAGGATACTGACGCCCCTGGCCCAGAGCGTCTCGTTTGGCAGGTAAGGGAGGGAGCCCAGTCTTCCCCTAGCGACTGGAATCGGTGGCCTTGGGGAACACCTGGCCCAGGGGTTCTGAACCAGGGCCCCCTGCAGGTCCTGGGTCCTCTGGAATTAGATACAAATTCTTACCTACATGTGTTTTCTGGGAGGGGATGGGTCCATGTTTCTCAAAAGATTCTCAAAGGGGTGGCAGTTCTTTTTTTAAAGATTGGCACCTGAGCTAACGACTGTTGCCAATCTTCTTTTGTTTTTTTTTTTCTTTTCTGCTTTTTCTCCCCAAATCTCTCAAGTGCATAGTTGTATATTTTAGTTGTGGGTCCTTCTAGGTGTGGCACGTGGGATGCCACCTCAGCGTGGCCTGATGAGTGGTGCCATGTCTACCCCCAGGATCCGAGCCAGTGAAGCCCTGGGCCGCCTCAGCGGAGCGCGTGAACTTAACCACTCGGCCACAGGGCCGGCCCCTAGGGTGTCAGTTCTTAAAAATGATCATGAGTCACAGGTCTGAGTCATAACCCTGTGTTTTGCAGAGAGATGAAGCTGCGGCCTTGGCAGACTATGCGGATGTGACAGAGCTGGGCTGCCCACATACTGCATGCAGTCCCCATACGCTGCTTCCATCTACTGATAGATGCACGTTAACTTTCCTGATTCCTCTGGGGAGCCACTCTGATGCCCTTTATCCCTGTGACTCGTTTGGAGTTAACTCACCGCTGGGCTGTAGGGCTGGGCATGTGGGAGGCCCAGATGTGGCCTATCCAAGTGCCGGCTCCTCCTGGGCACAGGCATCGTATCAGGATGTAGGCTGAGCCAAGCCAGGCCAATGAGAGGCTGCCCCACAGCTTGCCAGAGAGAAAGGAGCTTCATTTTTGCTGGGGCTGATAAGCTAATGGTATGGGAGCCTGGGGTTGCCTGGGGCCTGCATCCAGAGAGAGCCCACCTGAGAATGAAGCCCACCCCGAGAGAGCAGAGATATGGCGAGAGACACTGTTTGGGGCACTGGATCAAGCTGTGCCTGAAGCCAACACACTCCTCAATGTTTCCCTGACATGAGCACATAAAATTTCTTTTGCTGGTTTGAGCTGGGTTTCCTGCAATTGTTATCCAAAGGACACCTAATATATCTAGTCTCTCCAATGCTACTTGCTTCCGGAAAATGTGTGAACTTTAAAAACTGTGAGTCTCTGAACCAAACATTCTGTCTCCTTCAAGGCCAGCTTCTCCCACTGTCTTTCTCCTCCCTCTCTCATTTTGTCCATACTGTTTGCTGAGGTTCACTTCTGCCCAGCTGTAAGAAACCCCTCGCTGGTACCTGCTGACAGCTGCAGCCGCCCCTCCACAGAGCGAGCACAGTGGCTTTCCCAGCAGCCTGGGGGCCAGGGAGGAGCCATTAAAATCCACTTGTTCCCTGCACACGTTCTCCATATAATATCCATTCACAACGTGCCGCAAAGTAACAGCCACCAGATAGAACATGCAAGATCGGGGAGCGTCTGAACATGGGGAGCACAGGGGTTTCAACACACTTTTATCCCTTACACTCCAAACATGCTGGCCCCCCCTCACACCTAGGACTTGTGAGCAACAGCAACACCAAAACACGGCTGTCACCGAGGCTGGCGGCTGACGGTGACGCTCTGGATGCCGACGCCAGTAGAAGAAAAGGCAGTTTGGAAATCCCTGATAATTGACGCTGCTTCATAAACAAACAAGCCACAATTGAAAGATTTTTAACCCAGCATTTCAAGACCGCTTGTCGTCATTCAACGGCTTGTGGAAGGCTGGCAAGATCAGAAGCACAGGGACACCAAACTGGAAGTTGAAATGCATTGCTGGGAAAAGCCTTGCTGGAGAGGAACCGTGCTTCCCTGCTGGAAGCTTCTGATTAGCCAGGCTAATGGTGCCACAGCGCCAGAGCAAGGTGGCGGGTGCAGCCCAAGCCACTCCACAGAGAAATGCTGCCCTACGTGTGTCCCCACTTGCCAGTGTTTTGTATTCTGTGCTCATTTACGGTAACAGAGCCAGGCAAGGCAGCACGGTGAAAGCAAAGAACACTGGAAGCAGGGCATGCCGGGCAGCGCCCCTCCTGGTGTGTGAGCAAAGGGGGTGCTTGGATTCACCAGGGGTGGGAGCCACATCTGCTCTGGGATTGCAGAAGCTCAGGCTGGTGGATGCCTCAGGAGGGAGGTGGAAGGTACCTTGGGAGGCCTGTAATCCCTCACTACTCAAAGTAGGGTCCCCGGACCAGCAGCATCAGCACCCCTTGCAAGCTCCAGCCCCACAGCCCATCCACTGAATCAGAGTCTACCTTTAATAAGATCCACAGTGACTCGTACGCACATCACAGTGGGAGAAGGGCCACTCTGATCCCATGGTTCCCAGATTTGTCTGATGATGAGAATCCTCTGGAGGGCTTATCCTAAATACAGGTTCCAGGAACCCCTCCCAGAGCCACCAAACCACAACCTGCAGGGGCGGGGCTGGGAGACTCGTGTTTGTAACTCAGCAGCTCAGGGCATTCTCAGGCTCAGGCAGGCGTGGGAACCGTGGCTCTCTTCTGAGGTCTTACCCTTGACCGCACCCTGGAACCACTGGGGAAGATTTGAGAATACTGGGCCTGGGCCTCACCCCCTTGAGATTCTGCTATAATTGGCCCAAGGTGTGGCCTGGGAATGGAGATTTTTTTAAAGCTCCTCAAGTGATTATAGTATGTAGCAAAGGTTGAGAACCACTGCTCTGATCCAACGTGCTCAGTGTACAAGGTGGGGAAACTGAGTCC